TATTTTTTTTTTTTTTTTTTTTTTTTTTTTTTTTTTTTTAGTGATCGGATCATTTTTTTCTCTTTTCTTTTTTTAGTGCTGCAGATCTAATGTATGCTGAGCAAATGCTATTCCAGTGACCCATGACCCTACCCTTCGTTTCATTTTTGAAGATTTTTCTTTTTTTTTTGGTACCAGGGATTGAACTTTTTTTTTTCCACCTTCATTTTTGAAGAATATTTTTTCCCAGGCAGCCGGCAACCGCCCTCTACTACATGGAGGCTCTGGGGGCTTGCAGGCCTGTTTTTATACACTCTTCCCCAATCCCAGCTCTCACCGTCTTTGCCCCTCTTCCACAGTATTCCCTGAGCCCTGAACTGCTGTGTCACAGCCACGCGGTCCGGTGCTCAGACCTAGGACCACGCCATCGAGAAGGCAGCACCCAACAAAGCCTGCCTGGGTCAGGCTTGCTTCCTGAGAGGCAGAGGGAAGTGGGTGCACCCCGTCCAGTGGTGCCACCACTGCGGGAGTAGGCACCCTGCGTGGCATGCTGACAGTGTAGACTCAAGGCCAGGCCGAGAGGACGGTGGCGGACAGTTCTCTGGTGGCCCCGTTAGCCCTCTGGCTCTGTGAATGCTGGGCAGTGCCAGCTTCCTTCCCCGGGTCCTCCAGCCAGAGCATGAGGTGTCTTTAGCAATAGGGACTCTCTGTCCCCTTGAGGGGTGTGACCAACGGCAGCAGCCTGGATGGTTGGGGAGCCTTGGGGACCTCCCTGGCCTACAACTCATAGAAAGGTGCACTTTGGCCCCCGGCACGGGGATTTTTATGGAATATTATGGCTTCTGGAAGTTTTAAGTTTTTTCTCTCACACAAGGTGCCTTTATTTAAACCTTTTAGCTATCACTTTAACAGCACCCCCCTCTTAAGCAGCCTCAGTGGGTTTGTAAGGCGGGTGAAATTGCCCTTGCATTTGGTGACCCTTGGTCTGATTTTGTATCTTGATGCTGGGGAGATGAGTGTCCCTGTCACCATGGGTCCTTTGTGGGCACCTGTACAGACACTGAGCTGAGTAATGGTGCCAATAGCTTCCGTCGTGACCTGTCACTGGGGAACACTGCAGGAGAGCAGTGTGGGAACGGTCAGGATGCTTCATGGGGTGGCTGCCACCTTTGCTCCCCCAGCCTGTGCCCAGACTGCATCCAGTGGGGACAAATAGCTCAAGAGCTGGGCACCTTTCTGCCCTACTCTACCCACGTGGTATCTGTAGCTATCTGAACTGTTATCGTCTCCCATTTCTGTTTTGTACCCAACCCCTGCAGCAAGCACCTAAGGGGTGGGCAGTGTCCCTTTCACACCTTCTGGTTTGTCCACTGGTAGCAGCATGTGCCTGCAGTCCCAGCTCCTGGCCGCAAGTTCAAGGCCAACCTGGGCAATTTAGAGAGGTCTCCTCTCAAGATGAAAAGGCTGGAGGTGCAGCTCAGTGGGAGAGCGTTTGCCTAGCGTGTGTGACACCTTAGGTTCAATCCAGGTCCAAGAAGAAACATAAAGAGAGTGTTTAGCATTACTGTTTCTCTATTTTATTGATTTCTGCTCTGTTCTTTCCTCCTTTTTGTTTGCTTTGCATATAACTTGCGTTTCTTTTTATGCTATCTTGTACTATTTTCGGCTTTGGGATTAGGTTGGCATTTAGACTTTATTTTTCCTACATGAACATTTAAAGTTATAAATTACCCTGCACACTCGGCCTTGTCTGTAGCCCACGGATTTTGACATCTATATTTTCATTACCATATTTATATCTAAATATCAACCTTTTTTCTGATACTTCCTGGGAATCCTCTTTGGCCCAATAATTATTTAGAATTGTGCCAAATTCCAAATATTTGGAATCTTCCTGGTTTTCTCTTTGTAATTTCCTAATTTAATCCCTCTGTGGTGAGAGCACACATCCTATGTGACTTCAGACTTTTCACATTTATTGAGGAGTGTTTTGTGGCCAGCAAATGTGTTCTGTCTGACAAGCATACGAGCATCTCACCGTTCTGTTGGTTTATACCCACAAGACCATAGTACAATTTTTAAATGGTTACATTGTTTATGAAAACAATTAAAAGGTAAAGGCAAAAGGAAAAAAGTAACTCCTTTTGCATTAATCCTAGTACTTATATTCCTGTTTTTCATTGTTTTCTAAGAATCTTGAATTTCTGGCTGGTATCAATTTTCCCGATATATTTCTTTAGCTTTCTTAGAATGCCAATTTGCTGGTGAACGACTCTCTAAATTTTCTTTTAAATGAAATGCCTGTCTCTATTTTACCTCTTTCGGGGGTGGTTTACTGGGAATTGAACCCAGGGCCTCAGACATGCTAAGCACTTGCTGTGTCACTGAGCTAAACCCCCAGCCCCCACCTTTATCCTTAAATGATATTTTCTCTGAGTTGACAGGTAGTTAGTTGTTTTATTTTTTATGTCATTTTGATTTCAGGACTTTAAAAAAGTTGCTGTACTCTCTTGGGCTTTCCTCGATTTTTAAAGAAAAGTCAGCTGATCCTGGATTGCTGTTCCTCTGTGTCAAGGTGCAGGCCGTTCCTTGCTTCCAGGAGGCATCTTGTTGCTGTGTCCCTTCCTGGTAGAGGGCAGAATGATAAAGGTGGTGGACACTGTGTTGTCACAGGGCAGAAGAGGCCGTCGGGGACAACCCTAGCGGACTCTTTTATAAAAGTCTTCGCGTCATCCTTGAGGCTTCACCTTCATGGTCGAATCACCTCATAGAGGCTGCACCTCTTATATTCACACTGGCAGACACATTTCCAGCAGAAAGCTTGTTCGGGACACACTTAGACCATGTCGGCTTCCAACAGGTGGACCTGGGCGTCGGTGTCCTTCTGTGCAATGTACCTCGTATCTGCAAAGTTTTGTCTTTCAACCAATCTGAGAAACTTTCAGTTGTTATTCCTTTTTTTTTTTGGTACTGGGGATCGAACTCAGGTCCTTGTGCTTGCGAGGCAGGTGCCGGAACCACTGAGCTACATCCCCGGCCCCCAGTTGTTATTCTTTTCTTTCTCCCCTCTTATTCTGGTTCCAGTTACACACATATTTTACCATTTGATTTCATCTAATAGCTCACTAAGGCCCGGTTCTTTCCAGCCCTCTCCCACCTCCTCCTGTCTTCACCTGAGGTATTTCTATGGATCTATCTTCAAGTTTCTCATTCTCTCTTCTGTCACAGTCATCCAGTTTCTAGTCTACTAAGTTAATTCTTATTTCAGAAATTGCACTATTTGTTTCTTCTTTGCTGTTTCTATTTCCTTGTTGAGACTTCTCATTTCTCTGCTGCTGTTTGGAGTCCTAGAAAGCATGGTATGTGCTCTTTCCCTGAGGGGAGTTAGGAGAACTAATTGGTCCGACATCTGGTCCATCATAGGGTTGGGCTTGATTGAAATTGTTCTGTTGAGAATGTTTCCTAGTTTTTTTTCCCATTCCATATCGTGTAATTTGGGGTTGTGTCCTGAGTGTTATGAAAGTTAATTTGTGCAGATTCTGGACTTTTCTTTTCTCTAAAGAGTAATTTTTCCTTTGTGTTAGCAGATCGTAGTCTCCACTAGACTTGAATGTACATTCTTTTTCTTGGATAAAAGTCTCAGTTCAGAATTTTTGTGGTGGCTGCTGACTTTCGCTGAGCCATTTTGTGTCTACTCTGTGATACTTGGTTCAGGGTTCATTCAGAGAGACGTGGGAAGGCTGAATTGGGATCTTTTCTCTTTTCCCCTTGTAAGTGTCCCTTTCTCTTGTCAGTGCCCACTTTTCTGGTTTTTCTGGCGGCAGATTTCTTCCATGTTTGACCCTGGTATCGCTGTCTGCACTGGGTGTGCAAACTTTCCTTGGCCTCGGGCTAAGGCCTGAGCACGCACCCTGAGTCTCACCTCTCTCCTTTCCCCTAGGACAGCTCTCGGGCTTCACTAAGAGCCAGTGATGGCGAACATTGTAGAGCTTTCAGTGATAACACACAGCCCACCACGGCACGCGTGCCATAGGTTCGCCATCCCTGCAAAGCCATCTTCTCCTGCCGTTGCCAGCACGGCAGGTAGTTGCTTCTGTGTCCTGTGCAGATTTAGTGGTTGTTCTGTGGGAGCTGAGTCCTTT